AAGAGAGTATGTAGTATCTGCGTCCACAATAAAGAAAACAGTAGAGATCTTCTTTGGTCCGACCTCGATTGTGGCAACCATCATGCCTTCCGGCTTGGTCGGTTGCCCTGTAAAACTTGTCATTTCGAATTCCACAGGAGACAGATCATGAATTCCTTTCCCTAGCTTCTTGAGAGTCTTCAATGGCATAACATTAAAGACTGCCCCATTATCCACAAAAACCTTTGTGATTGGTTTCCCGCAAATGTGAGCATTAACATACAGAGGTTTCAAATGGGAGATCGCACCCTCTGGAATAGGAGGAAACACAATCGAAGGTGCCTCCGTCTGAGGCTCGGAATCCGAAGTCTTTGCCCACTCTGTTTCCTCTAATTCGTCATCTGCCAAAAATGCCCATAAAGGTTCGTCCATAGTATCATCTACCAGACTCACCCACATCGGTTCATCTCTAATCTGATTAATCTCTGTCATTCGACAAGGGATTCGTGGTCCCAGACGAGATTTAACAGATCTTGAACTTTCCTCTGTAGTTACAACTTCTTCCTTCGTCTTATTCCGAGATTGAACCGTCAAAGATTCTATTCGGAATTCTTCAAGAGATGGATTGATGTTGATCCGTTCACAATGTTGGCATCTAAAACCTTTAATTATTTCATCTGCCATTCCTTTACCTTTCCCCTGTCCCGACGAACTTCTTTTGGTATAGTCGGAAGTGCCTAATCCGTCGGTCGGTTGCTCCCCTGAACAGACCCGACTGGACCGACTTTTTGGAGATTGAAAGGCTACTCCCTGCTCGTTGGTCGTCTGTTCTGTAAAGACTCTAATGGACTGATCTCCTGCCAAGTGGTCGGCTGCTTTTTGCTCGTCGGTTGGTTGTTTTACAGCAGGAACTCGTTTCCCATACTTTGCAGCATACCTGCGTTTGGCATTGCGAATCTGTGTACGATTCATACCTGGGAAACGAGGATCTATATCAACGGGTAAAGGCTTTTTATTTCGAGCCATATTGTGCCCGACTGAACCCGTTTTTCTGGTCGGGTGATCACGTACTAAAACCTTTTCTTTCACCTCCACATTAAAAGAACCGTCTGGATGGTCCCATTTTTCAGCGACTGGTTTCTCACAAACTTTGAGTCGTTCTTCAGGTCGGCCACTGTTTGGCCGACTCCCTTTTTTTGTTTCGGGGCTTGGGTGAGTTCGTTCCCCTGTTTGTCCATCATTGGCCGAACCTTTCCTTGTTTCCGGTCTTGGTTGGATGTCAACCATTGCCGTTGTTACTTTCGGAAACGGTTGCTGGTCTACACCTAGAGTGATGTATTTGAGTCGACCTGTCTTGATGGCCTTTTGAATTTCCTTCCTGAAATGAGTACACTGACTTGTATTGTGTGTGAAAGAATTATGCCACTTACAATATGGTCTCCCTTTGATTTCTTCTTTAGTGGCCAATCTTTGCCCCTTTGGAATACGGATCTGCCCATCAGTCAGTAGGATATCAAAGATTTCATCAGCTTTCGAACTATCAAAGGTCGGTTGCTCCTTTCCTTCAGATCCTGGTACTGGCTTCAATTTAGGGCATACATAAGGTTTTCCAGAAAGGATTTCGGCTGCCATTTCTTCTGATTGATTAAAATCAAAGTCACATGTTTCTGTTCCCATACTCGCCATATGTTGGCCTCTATTACGCCTGTTATGCTGATCATCCTCTCTGAACAAAGACTCTAAACGTCCTGCTTTGGATGCAAGACTTGCCAAATCCTCAACATCCAGGGCAGTGAGTGCCTTTCGTAAACGAGTATGCATATTCCGGACCACTAAATTGGTCATCTCTTTCTCACTGATTACCGTAGGACATCGTCCCTTCATCAATCGCACCCTTTCTATAAACTGTGAAGCAGATTCTTCTGGAAACTGTCTCAATTCTAGTAGATCCGTTAAAGAAACAACTGGTAAAGGATTGAAGAATCTAGCGTGAAATGCCATCTCCAGTCCTTCCCATGTCTGAATTTGTCCAGGAGGTAGACTTACAAACCACGAAAATGCTGTTCTAGTAAGAGATAAACCAAACAGCTGTAGCTTATAAAAGGGGTTATTGCCAACTTCTCCTAATTGTGCTGTGAACCGACCAACATGTTCTATGGTGGAAGATCCGTCCTCCCCTGAGAATGCATGAAAATCGGGTGGTCGAAAATTCCTTGGGAGAGGGTGTTCATTAATGATCCTTTCTGGGAAAGGTCTCTGATATGTAGGGCGGTTAGCCATCTGAGGAGTTAATCCATACTGATCCCTTAATATATGTGCAATCTCATCAGGATCTACATGAAAGCGTTGATGATCAGGAACATGGAACGGATCCTGCACAGGAATATGAATAGGATCATGTATATATCCTTCAGGCCTGTCCTCCCTTGTATTGTTTGGCTGTGGATTGGTAACCCTTGGTCCCAGCGGAACATTGTTGGGAAAAGTCAAAGGAGATTTTCCCCTATCCATTCGGTTGGGATTTGTGGCACTTGGGAATGTACTATCCACGAATGATGGCCCTGCAAAATTTGCCTGTGGTCTGGACGGTGACACTCCTGGTGGCGTTTGAGTGGTTTGAAGACTAACCCTTGATAGTGCTTGATCTATCATGTTCTGCATCAGACTCTGTTGCTCACGCAACATGTTCGTTTGTTGCTCACGCAACATATTCTGCATAACCAAGGTATGCTGGTTGTTCATTTGTTGAACATAAGACCACCAATCAGTTGGTGGTTGTGGGATTTCCCCGGCATTTGGCACAATAGGTGGTGGAACGGATTCTCCCACCGGTGCCGAAGATGATTGTGGTTGTGAACCTGCCATATGGACCCTTCCGATGATTCGGCCGGATCTAAGACGTATGAAATTATCGCCGGAATTGGAATGAGCAATTGTGTCTTGCTCCCACTGTGGTCGCCAATTTGTTGATGTAATTTTTCAACAAAAATAAAGTAAAATTCAAAGATATAGAAAATATCCTTAAACTTGATTAATTAGTGCCTGAGATTAGGAATCTCTAAACACTGTATGGTACAGAAAATAAACTGGAAAATAAAAGACTGAAATTTAAAGTGGTGATCCCCAAATCTGACTTTGCTTTGTTGAAGTTGATTGAAGATACCCTGCCAAATGATTATCCAAACCTTTAAATATTCTCTGGGAAACCGTACTGAAAACTGTCACCCGAACGGTTACAACGTCTCCTTTCCAACCGTCTTCCAATCCTTCTCCTGCTGACACGTGTCCTCAGCAGACCAAAATTATCCCTATATTCCACTCTTTGAGCTGGCCACAGACCTTCCGCCTTTTAGGCCCGACTGCCAAACTACAACAGTATGAGTCCGATTGCCAATCCTCCCGACTTGCAAACCATCTGACTTGTTTGGTTTAGCTACAGACATCCCGACCAACAAACCACCCGATTTGTTGGTTCTGCCGCAGAATTCCGTCCTGATAACTTCCCGACCTGAGGGCCCCCCGACTTGCGGACTTCCCGTCCTGAAGGCCTCCCGACCTGCGGACTTCCCATCCTGATGACTTTCCGTCTTGATGACCTCCCGACCTGAAAACCTTCCGACTTGAGGTCTTTCCGTCTTGAGGACCTCCCGACCTGAAAACCTTCCGACTTGAGGTCTTTCCGTCTTGAGGACCTTCCGACCTGAAAACCTTCCGACTTGAGGTCTTTCCGTCTTGAGGACCTACCGACCTGAGGTCCTTCCGTCCTGATGACTTTCCGTCTTGAGGACCTCCCGACCTGAAGACCTTCCGACTTGAGGTCTTTCCGTCTTGAGGACCTTCCGACCTGAAAACCTTCCGACTTGAGGTCTTTCCGTCTTGAGGACCTACCGACCTGAGGTCCTTCCGTACTGATGACTTTCCGTCTTGAGGACCTCCCGACCTGAAGACCTTCCGACTTGAGGTCTTTCCGTCTTGAGGACCTTCCGACCTGAAAACCCTCCGACTTGAGGTCTTTCCGTCTTGAGGACCTACCGACCTGAGGTCCTTCCGTCCTGATGACTTTCCTTAGAAATAAACCCATTTTCCTTGATTTCCTCATGGTGTCCTTCAGTCAGTTCAATCAACTCTATTGCCAGGCCCATTCTTCTTTTTACCTTGGGCTTTTAACCTAATTCTAAATTTCGTACATAACAGAAGGATTTTGGAGGATTTCCACTATTCATCCAATTTTTTCCTCCCAAAAACATCAAATCAAACACCTATTTTTCATTTTTTATATTATACTAAAAATCAATTTTACATTCAAAACATCACATCAAACCCTATTTATATCACATCATACAACTATTCAAATTCAAAATTTTTACTATTCAAATCCCAATACAAAATCCAAACCCCCAAACAAACACACCCTATATAAAATTTTATATTTACTAGAATAAATATTTTTAATAATGATGTAAAATAATTATCTCGTTTAGTTTATTCTTTTACATCACTCAAATAAAATAAAAATAAAAATAAATAGACACTTTAATTCCTAAACTATTCTAGTTAATATTATCCATTTAAATTTTTGTGCTAAAAAAATCTAGGATGTAAAGAATAACGGAGTATAATTCGAAAATGAAACTATTGTTGAATTGAGACAAAATAAATATTATTTTATAATTTATTACAAAAACTCAAAATAGTATTTTGGATCGGAATGGAAAAGCAATAATTCTCCGTCTCAATTTAAAATATTATTTTTATCGTGTTATATTCAAAAAAAATTTCTTTTCAATCCATTTTCAATTGGACTGACGGGAGTATTTTTTATTATTTTTTAAAAATAAATAAATAAAAATTGACGTTCACCGTTGGGAGATTATAGAAACCGAACCGAACCGGTTTGAATCTCGGTTCGACCGCCGGTTGGAAACGATTACAGTAGACAAGTCTAGATGCGCTTGTAGGTTGAAGGCGGTACTGACAAAAAATTTAAAATTCAAAAATAAGGTTAACGTTAATTATTTGAACACAAGACGCGGATTGACGAAGACACATTCTTCTTCCACTGCATACCTTCAATCGACAACCCGCCCGCCATGGACAAGTACGAGAAGCTTGAGAAAGTCGGGGAAGGCACCTACGGCAAGGTGTACAAGGCCAAAGAGAAGGCCACTGGTCAAGTGGTCGCTCTGAAGAAGACGCGCCTCGAGATGGACGAGGAAGGGGTGCCTCCCACTGCGCTGCGCGAGGTTTCGCTCCTCCAGATGCTGTCTCAGTCCCTCTACGTCGTTCGTCTTCTGAACGTCGAGCACGTCGATAACAAGAGCGGCAAGCCCCTTCTCTACCTTGTTTTCGAGTATCTTGACACTGACCTAAAGAAGTTCATCGATTCCCACCGCAAAGGTCCAAACCCTAGGCCTCTCCCACCGCAGCTGATTCAGAGTTTCCTCTATCAGCTCTGCAAGGGCGTCGCCCACTGCCACAGTCACGGTGTTCTTCACCGCGATCTCAAGCCTCAGAACCTGCTTCTTGACAAGGATAAAGGTATCCTCAAAATCGCCGATCTTGGCCTTGGCAGAGCTTTCACTGTCCCCCTCAAGAGCTACACGCACGAGGTATCACTCTATCTTCCTCGATGCATTCAAACATCTATCTCAACTAACATAATTCCATCCGATCTGCGCAGATCGTCACTCTCTGGTACAGAGCCCCTGAAGTTCTTCTCGGATCCAGTCATTACTCCACCGCCGTGGACATGTGGTCCGTTGGCTGCATTTTTGGTATGAATCCAGCTCAGTATATTTTCCCTCATTGCTTTTGAATATTGAAATAGTTGCTGCACTGAAGTAGCGTTTCCTTTTGCCTCTTGCAGCTGAGATGGTGAGGAAGCAGGCCTTGTTTCCTGGAGATTCTGAGTTCCAGCAATTGCTCCATATATTTAGGTATATCTGGGTTGATTTGCTTTCTAGTTTTGTTTTTCTTGGCTGAATTGGTAGTTTTTGCCCATCTATCAAAATTATTCCTGTGTTCTCTTTTGGATGGCCATTTTACTTGGGTTAGTTCTTATAGATAGATTTCATTGTAATACTTCACTGTATATGCTCATTAATATCGAGTTAATGAAATTCGCACTAGGCATGCTACATACTAGATAAAATTTGAAGGGTTACTCATGAATTTCAAGTAAGTTCATGTTGATGGTTGTAGTGGTATTGTTGCTTTGGGATCAGGAGGGTGAAGCCTTTACTTTTCCTTCAAAGCGAAAAATGTTGATTTGATAGACACAGATACTAATATTTGGTTTTTGATAGTTCCATGTGATTAACTTCAATCAGTTGCATTATCTCAGGTTGATGGGAACACCAACTGAGAAACAGTGGCCGGGAGTTAGTTCATTGCGGGATTGGCATCAGTATCCCCAATGGGAGCCTCAGAACTTGGCACGTGCTGTTCCATTACTTGGATCTGATGGCATCGACCTTTTATCGGTGATTTCTTTTGTCTAATCAGTTGGTTTTATTTGTCATAACAATCACACTAGTTTCTGCTCCCATGCTTTGTTTTAGGCTGCAGGATGATGCATTTTGTTTACCCATATTTTTTATTCCATCACTTAATTGCATCTTTGCTGGACTTATGAGCCATTCTGATAGCATTTGATTAGGGATCTTGCACCTTATGTTGAATTGGAAATCATTTAGCTAATACAGATTACATTTTTCCTTTTTCTCTTATAAGTACTAATTGCTTCCACATTCATTGGGTAATTTTGACATGGGCTTTTTCATGTCTTTTGATTTGCAGAAGATGCTGAAATATGATCCTGCACACCGAATTTCAGCAAAAGCTGCTCTAGATCATCCATACTTTGATAGCCTAGATAAGTCCCAATTCTGATGTTTTTGTTCTTGGAGTGTGGATGCTGTCATTTGGCTTCTGTGATAACGTGCTGCTGCTGTTGGAATGGAAGCATGTCATCATCTTGGTGATTGAATTTGTTGATTCCTGTGCTTTCTTGCTATCTCCCTCCCTGCATTGGATGAGAAATCTTAAACTTTATTGCCACCCTAAAATTGCCGGGGGGCCAATCATCACAGTTATGTGAGATTTTGGTGTACCTGTGGTTGATGGCTCCCAAAGCAAAAGTAATATCAAACTTTTTTCAGGAACCTTGGGTACCTTGTTTAGAATATATATATATATATATATGTGTGTGTGTGTGATTTATTGAAGACCACTGGATCTAGAATACATAAATACAGAAGAATTAAGATGTCACAATAGTAATATTTATTGTCTGTCAAGTGATTTTCATTTAGTTATTAGCTAGTAACTTCTGTTGAGTATTTTATCGTACTTTAGCAAGCATAATCAAGTGAATATTCTGATGTGTGCATATTAACAATTGTGACTAATTGAACTACCTACATGCAAAGGCTTATTTACTTGGACATGTAAAAGGATCAATGAAAAAAACAAGAGTTAGTATGATTTTTCATGTTAACAAGACAACAATAAATGAAACTCCCACTTCAAGTGGTAAAAAGCAGTTAGAATAGAAGATCTCAAAGAGCTGAATGACATTATCCTTATGGGTGGCTTTGACAAAGTTCAAATTAAATCCATTCGGACCACGGGGTTTGTCATCATCACATAAGGAGAGAGAGAACCTTTTGAATCTCTTACAACTAAAAAGCCTAAACAAGAGGATGCAAGCTTGACTCGAGGATGGAATCAAACTCAACCCGAGTTAGGATAATAAGCTAATAAGCATTGGATGCCGAGGTTCACAAAAAACACTAGACAAATACTTAAACAAGCAAGCCCATTTTTATATCTTCGATTGAATTCAGCTCTACCCCATTTACGTTTTAAGAGTAAATCCTGTTGGGGGTTGCCTGGTAGCAATCGATCTTTGGAAGAATTTGGAAACCAACAAAAATACATGAAATTCTTGATTTTTGTCTTCAAATACCATTGTCGTTCTTTATAAGAATCCATAGAGAAGATTTGCATGGAGGAGTCTCATCCCTAAGGGAATGATTACTATTGCATGCGTCCAGATAAAATTAGAAAATTACTCAAAAAAAAATTCAGCAATCTACATCTTTTTACTCTACTGACATCACATTTCCCACATAGGAAATCTAACTTATTTAGTACTATAATGGACACCAACGCCTTGAATTTCCAAAATCCAATCCAGTCGTGGCAAATGTGCTTTTAAGTTTGTAATTCCGTAAATGGTATATTGGATGGAATCGCATACTAGATGCAACTATCAAGGCATTATTCTTTGGTTAAGCTTGAGAGTTTTCAAGCCAAAACAAGGAGAAAGCTGAATTCTTTCTTGTTCTTATTCAATCCAATAGTGTAGGGCACAATCCCTTCACCTTCTTCTTCATCTTTCACTCAATGAACCCAAAAATCATCTCTGATGAAGTGAGAATCCACATCCACACATGCTTGGTACGTTCATGATGAACTGGATTGTGTGCCAATTGTATGGCTGCCATATTATTACAAAATATAGGAATAGGATACTGTATCTTGATTGTGGAAATCCTGAACTAATAGAAAATCTGCTTCTGCTGAGGATTTAGTTACAGTCGTTTGTTTCTTGGACTTCAATGACATGTCTCTCCAAAAAATATGCAGTAACCAGAGATAGACTTTCTAGTACTATGACAGCTTCCCCAATCTGCATCAAAGAATGCTTTCAGCTTCTGACCAGAACTGTGAGGATAAAACAACTTAAAAGAACTTTTGCCATTCAAATATTTGAGCAACCTTTGAGCCAATTTCAAATGAAGATTGGTTGTCTAGATATGAACTGCATGAGCTTCTTCATTGCAAATATTATGTCAGCTCTGGACTTTGTGAGATAAAAACGTCTGCCCACCAACCTTCTGTAATGATCTGGATTAGATAGAATTGTTTCATCTTCAGTTTGTAATTTTAGTTCCTCCTTTAGACTCAACCATATTTTCTTCTTGAAGTATGTTGTACAAATAATGTTGTTGAGAGATAATAAGTCCCTCTACAGTATGCTCAATTTGTAAGCCAAGAAACAGATCAACATCTCCAAGGACCTTTTAACTACTGTAAACTCTTGATGTAAAAATTTCTTCAAAGAGTTAATATGCTGATGATTATTGCCTGTAATCAGTATATCATCAACATACAATACCATGTCTTACTCTTTTTTTTTTTTTTTCGCTATGCATCTGTGTTTTTGTGATGCTATTTTTGTTTGTTTAACATAAACATATCTATCTATCTATCTATATATATATAAATATCTACATATAAACATAATTTTACAGTGCATTCTTCTCCATATACTACTCAAGGTGCCCAAATTTGGCTCCTCATGCAAAGATATGGTTAGCACTAACCCTTTAGGAATACGAAAAGGAAATTGTTTGTGGAAACTCGTAGAATTATTGAGGATAACTGAAGAGGCAAAGGGCAAACAATCATCCGAATCTATAACAGAGAAGTTTCTTAAGATTCATGCTAACTCAGATAGCTATGCTGGCAAGATATATTATTCTCTCTTGATTACTTTGATTGGGCTATTAATTATTATCTTGCATCTATGATCATCACGGTTGGATCTTCATCCTGATCAATCAAGCACACTGATCCATGCGACAATCTGTGCATCTATCTTTTTATGTTGTTCTATTACTGAATATATCGGTTCTTTCTATTTCCTTCCTTGATTAATTTGTTGTACGGTATTTGTCTTATTATAAATCATTATGCATTACTTATTTGGAAATGTTTCTTTGCTTTTATGGTTCATTTGGCACCAATAATTCACCACTATATATATATATATATATAACCTTTAGTAAATTCATATGGAGGGGTGGGGACCAAAGAATTTATCAGTTGGCTTCTTTTTAGATTAGATTTGTACAATAATTATTAACTTTAGCTTGAATTTTCTTGTTGTATCGGGCATTTCTGTGTGCTGAATCCATCCATATCTGTGGATGGAATTGATTTGTCCTATAGATGGTAAAGTGATGAGCAAGCCCGCCCGCCCGCCTTATGTTGGTTTGGTGAATTTGTTCCCACTTTTTGGTAGGATTCTGTTGAAAGAGAGACATGCAGTAGACACATAAGCTAGCTAGCCATGTTTAATTATCTATCATTTTATCTATATATAAATTATGTATCTTTCTGCTGGTAGTGCTCATCTTTGGAAAGCCATGTTTCGTGCAAAAAGAAATCACCTTGCTTGTTTTCTTGTATCAACTGAATAATAAATAATAATTACAGATTCTGGTGTTCAACATTTATATATATATATATACATGCTGGTAAACATATCAATCTGCTCTGCTATAGCCTTAGGATGTATATCTTAGCTCTATCTTATGTAGGTGTCCACGACACGTGATGGAAGAAGACGATAGAAATAAAGGAATCGAATCAATGTGGTGAATAGTTGACATGTTGTGTGCATGTGTTTGAAAGAGAGAGAGAGAGAGAGAGATGCTTTATTCTTTGTTGGGGATGGGGTTGGGGTTGGGGTTGACTTGTGTAGTAGTTCAGTTTAGGACATCCATATATATATAGATAGATTCTTTTTTTATCTTCAGTGTTAGAGGGTGTTATCCTGAATCAAGAATCAAATGAAATGCATCTTTGTTAGGCCACTCATGTCAAGTGCTCAAAGATAATTAGGCCCCACCGTCTGTAGGGGCTGTGTTTTCTGCCTATAAATGGCCTCTTTCTTCACTTTCACCTTCACTTGTGCATCAATCATACTCTAACTTCTTCTTCTTGTTCATGGGCTTCCAGTTTGCACCAGGATACAATCTGTTCTCTCTCCCTCAAAGGTTTCTGGTGCAGCAACTTATGTATGTATATATGTATGTATGCAGATACCAGAAACCTTTGAAGGGGGGGAACAGAATACGTCTTGGTAGTTGGTATATATATATATATGTTCATGTTCTTGTTCGTGCTCCTAATTCAAATCTTTTGGTTTTGGTTGTGGTTATGGTCATCATCTTTTCTTTCTACGAAAATGTGGGTCGTGTTTTGACTAAACTTCCGGTCGAACGTTAGTTTGAACCATGCCTTATGCCTTATGGGACTAGGGTCATTTATTTTTTCGTGCGAGTTTGAAGTGTATATATATATATACACACATTGTGTGTATGAAATAAGATGATGGAGGTGAGGATATGGTCTAAAGACATACGAGATATATATACTCACATTGTGTATATGAGATAGGATAGTGATTAATTTTTTTTTAGACAGATTATATGGTTTGATAAATACAAAATTATGAATATTTTTTTATAAATCATTTTGTAAATATATTGTTTCCTCTTAATACTTTTTGTTTTACCAAACATAAAATTTCATTTCTCATTCTCTGCCTTAAGTGTCGACGTAACTCGAGACTATAAAATTTCAATTCTGAATTCTCATTTACTTTTATGTTTTTGAGCTTATACTTTTAATTTAATAATCTCACGGTATCATTAAAAAATATTCCAATATTATATATAGTTTTTAAAATTGCTCATTTTATCGTTGTACTGATAAGTATGTTTTTAAATTATTTTCATAATCTATCTATTGTTATAATTATATTTAGATGCCTATTAGGCCACCCGGTGCCCGACATGCCTCGGCCACCGAACATCCGATGTGCCTTCGGCACTAGGCCAAGCACAAGTTCGCCACCCGACGTGTCTCGGCCACCCGACACCTAGAATCCATTGTACCTCAATAACCCGACGACACAATAATGTGAAAATATAATACTTGTTTGTAACAAAATATGTTGATTTACTCTTTCCCGACATTTGAATTATGTACATTCGAGTAACTCGGTCGCATAACAACCCTAACAGCATCCAACTGTCCAACGGACTAAATACCCATGTCGTGACGAACACAAAACAACCCATCTGTGATTTATTCTCTAGAGAACTCTAAAAATAATTATCATTTGAACTCAACTGAAGACTTACATAATTTTAGAGCTCAGGAAGAACTATTACTCCCCGAGTCGAATCAATCTCGAATACAATGCACCTGCCTAGTCGCAAAGGTTCTATGAGAAGTCTTTATTATACCATCACAGGTGAGAATTACAGTTTCTCTATGCAATCAATAGCTTAAAGAAATGTATAAGTTGAATCCGCGAGTACTTACTCTATTTCAGTTTGTTGCTTTCTTTTGCGTATTCGTCTAATAGTCCTACAACATCATTCTGAAAAATGCCCTCGGAAAAAACTCCATCCTTGGTGAACCTACAAGCAGCAGCATTGTATTATTATCATTGGCTATTAAACCTGATAATCGGGCACAAGTCCATTGTCACAAAATTACCACTTAGTAACGCTTTTGGTGAAATGAACCGGAGGTTTTGCTGATACCGACTGTGGATCTGCACTTGTTATGATGAGAGAGTACATATCCGAGAATCTTGGCAGCTTAGACGTTACAACTAATCCAGTAGAATTGAAAGAAGTCTACAGACAAAAACACTTGAAATATTTCAGTTCATTTTGATAAAAATGGCACAAGTAAATGTACTTTTGATCGGGAAATCAAAACAAGCACTACAATTACAGATCTGAGTATGATATTAATCAGCCAACCTGTCTTAGACGTCCCACTAAAAACTCTTATACGAATGCTTTCACAAAATCTTAATGTACTTTTGCAAAGTATTAAACTTCTTTTACTGTATGCTTCACATAAGGATCTCGTAACCGATAACCTTACAGTATGTAAAGATTAAGAAGAACAACATAGATTAAATTGCATACTCATGCTTACTGCGCATATGCATAAAGAAAAACAAGCTTATTTTACTTCTTTCAACCATTTTCATGTAGCTGAGGCTCGCTCGTATGATCAATTATAAATTCAAGTCTGCTACTAGTTTTTAAGATATTAATAAACTCCGCATATTCAATACTAATATGTCAAGTAAATGTTGCATATAATTAGATTAGGTTACAAAACCATATATCTATTGACTCGTTCCATGCCATATCAATAAAGAATGCTGTGCAATTGAATTTTCTGTGAATATTGTGAAGCATATTAGATACAGAAAACCAAAAACATGTACAAAGTGCAATCACCGAATCAAATCCAAAGAAAGGAAAAAATAGAGAAAAAGTAATTCAGCTGAGTAATTCCATTAAATGATTGCTTAGAAATACTTCAGGCCAAAGATTGGAATTGAACAATGCTCCTTCAGATTAAACAATATTTAAAAAGATCAAGCAACTTACTGGAGGAGGATATGTGAACATGATGACATTCTTTTCCTTGATATGAACAATCAGTTGCAACATACCATTCAATAACACATACTTGCCGGCGTCAAAGATCAAACCATCAAATACAGCTTTTTGATTGTGGTAATGATAAATTTTACATGCAGTAACAGCAACTTGAATTGTAAGACCATTCTCGTTAATTTGAAAAACCTCTGAATGATACATTCTTTTCAATTCGTCAAGATCATGTTATTTATACGTATAAACAAGCAATAAAATCAAACAAGACCTTTAATTTTGAACGAATTGAGCAGAATATTCAATTCATAAGCTCGGAACGAAGAGAACAAAAAGGATATAAAACGATGCACCCGACGAGGAAATTCCGATTCTCGGGAAACTTCTTGTTGTAAAACTGAGCAAAAAGGGCGACAACAATGATGATAATCCCAATGAGCAGCCGAACGTTACTCGTTCTGAAATCTTCTGGATATCCCTTGCTATTAACGATCTACAACCACGACCAGCATCCAAAAAAGCAATAAAATTCGAAAGCCAATTTCATTTTCAGAAGAACAATCGATTAGAGCGATTACTTACCTCGGTGACAGACTCATCAAGAGCGTGTTTGACGGAGTGACTATCCAACAGATTAGTCTTTTTGGAGTTCTTTTGGGCTGCCATTTCCCGCTGCGTACTTCCACTGCGATTGCTTCACCGTAATCTATTGATTCTTCACGATTTGCTGATTTGGGGACCGAAAATAAGCAACGGCATGAACGCTGCAATCTAATTAATAGCCTTAGATTCATCGCCCGAAGCCCAATAATAACTGGGCTCGATTAATTACAGAATCCCTAAAGTTGTTCATCTGGACGACCAACGCATGGTGTGATCTTCTTGAGTCGAACCCTAGACCTCCGATTCAATAATAATAATAATGATAAAAATGGAAAACCAAATCAAACTAATCAACTTATTAGATCATCTCCAAAGGAGGAGATTTTCCTGTACGGAGAAAAAAACTGCTCAAACTCACCCTCAATTTTGCAGAATTCACCAGCTGGATTTTTTATTTTTATTTTGTTTTAAGCTTATATTTTTATATATTTTATTTTAATCTATATTTAAATTTTTAATAATATTAATATTTTTGTGCTTTAATTTAAATATACATTAAAATATTAATAAATATAATTTATCGGTATAATATTTAAAATAATTAAAAATATTATTATAACTTAAATGTATAAAAATAATAAAATATTAAATTTTATTTGTAATTTTAAAATTATGTAAAATAAAATATAAAGAAAATATTTTTTAACCTGCAAAAAGGGAGGGTATGGTTGGAGAAGAGACCATGCAAAAATAGAGGGTATAATTGGAGATGGGTTAGTATAGCAGATCCTGCAAAAATGGAGAAATATACTATAACCCTGCAAAAATGGAGTTATGGATTGAAGATGGTCTTATATATTAGCAATAGCAAAGAACATGTGGTCGGTCGGGTGGGGATGGGAGTTATACGTGTGTGAGGTGCCTCAAGTCCTCTGCCACACATGGTTCACTTTTAGTGTAACTTGGTGTATTTGACTGTGATTTCAAATTAAAATCAATATTATTTACTCCCTCGTGCAAATGTATGATCAAATGTGTGTTCATTTGACCGGACAACAAATTTCAATAGAAGTAAGTAATAATTGTTATTTTTTTATTTTATAGTAAAAAATATAAAAATATAATAATTTTTTACTTGAAAATAATAATGAACATATATTTGAATATGGGAGAAAATATTATTTATAATATTTTAAAAAAATATACCATTTTATTTACAAAATATTAGATAAAAAATTCTATGTAAACAAAAATTTAAATCAAATATTCAATTTCAACCCTCCAAACAAATCCTTAATCTCTTGTATGAAATGATTCCTTCCTATTGTTCTCGAACTGTCACACACATCCCACTAGGATCCCATAATAAAATAAATAAGCAAACAGTTCATGGAAAAAAGGGGGAAGTCAAATGAACAATGACCTACCAATTGGAACAAGTGTACATTCATAATAAATATTATTAAAATTATTATTATTATTTGCCATGTCATCATTATCGGTTAATTACAGTATTACTTTATTAAAAGATCATTACATACATACTAATGACCGAAATTCAAATGGGCTGGGCTGGGCTGGCGGACGGCGGACGCCGACAAACCATAAAAGACGGCTGTGTCCATTTTATTTTTGGCATTATCCAACCGACCCTTTGGATTATTTAATTAATAAATAATTAGAGTGTGGAAGTGAGATTGGATAAAATAAAATAAAATAAAATAGTTAATGAATCGCGCCAGGATTCCCCACCGCAGCGCCGACTTTCATTGGGATTTGCAATTAATGACAGCCAGCCATCCCATACTACACATTGTATTCATTCCATTCTCATCCATCTTCTCTGTGCTTGCTACTGAATTAATAATCACGATTATACTACTTATTAATTTAATGATTAATCACAACAATGATGATTTAGGAATTGAAAAAAAATAATTAATTTAATAATGTTTTCATTAAGAAAATTATTATTAGTTCATTACGTTATGATGATGGTCTTTTTACTGTCAATTGACAAATTTGTCCTTAATTGTATGGTAAAGATTAAAAATAATAAATAAATAAAGGATAAAAATATAAAATTTGTATTTAAAAAAAAAAAAAAAAGACAATAGTTGTTGTACATCCCAAATAGAAAAGTATGTGGACGAATGAAGTATAATTTAAGAATTAAATTATGTCCAAAGTTTATATGGGTTCTCTAACAGCACAGATTTAAAAATATGTTGGTAAAGTAAGTTTATTGCTACTAAAACATATGCAATTTCTGGAATATATTAGTTTAGCCATTTTTTCAATTTTTTTTGCTATTTATCAATTTTTTTTTCTTTAAAAATATTTGTATGGATAAATTATGAGAATTTAGCCAATATTTTTTAAAATTTTTATTATTCATAAAAAAATTTCTTAAAAAAATTGTATGAATAAATTATGAGAATCGAACCTCTAACCTAAAGATAGGGAGGAATAAAAAAGAAAAATAATTCTGAAAATTGAGAGAGAAGGAAAATAATATACAAATTATTAATACAAACAATGAATATGAAGTTGAAAGATTTTAGTGAGAATTTGTACATGATAAATTTATCCATAAGTCAACAAATTGGTTATATATATTTTTCAATGCATATTTATTTGATCAAATATATTCAATTGTTACATTTACAATTGCACACGTCTCACCTAAAAATTCAAATTATTAGAAAAACGCATTATTAATTTATTTATCGGCAAAACAAATTTATTAAATTTATAACCGTTTATAATCCACTAAAAAACTATTTATTTTTATATTTCTCCAATTAAACAAATATTTTTTTTTATCTATTTTTAAAACTTCCTCCGTCCCAAAACTATAATTTGAGTTGTGTTTGACACGGGGATTTAAGGAATATTGATATTATATGGGTAGTGGGTAAAAAGTACGGGTAAAAGACTTTTTTGCTTTTGTGAGTGTATTAATATAAAAAATAGTGACAATTGTGTAATAATAATGAGAAAATATGAGTAGTTTTACAGTGATATAATTATTTATGAAAATAAAACTATTGTTTTGAGACAGACAAAAATGGTAAACATGACTTGGGATGGAGGGAGTATAAAATTTTATTATCTACAAAATAATATTCATATTGCATATATATATTAAGATATAATGTTAAAACTATTTAAAATACCAACAATATTACTCATATAAAAAAATTAATATTATAATTTATTATTAATAACTTACTATTATATATTACCTAAAATACCAAGGGTCCGGAAGGAGTATAAAACTAGTAATTTTCTTTCTTTTTTCTTTTATCATTATAATTTAAGTAAAATTATCTCCAACCTACTATATTATTTTAAACCATTTTTTATATATACAGTTAATATTACATTTTAAAAAACATAAAAAAAAATTAATAAAAAACTAATATACAAAAATTTTATAAAAAACAAAAAAAAAAAAAAAAAAAAAAAAAAAAAAAAAAAAAACGTTTGGTACCGTTCAACACTATTTTTGGTATTATACGGTAAGAAACACCGTAATAAATGGTGTCAAGAATGACTGCATGATTGGAGGGCACAAACTCCATTTATGACTATGGCGTAAAAAATGCAGTTTCATTGTTGATAGACATAATACTACAAAAAATAATATTTGTAAATGAAAAAGAATAGAAAAAAAGAAAATTATTTCTTCACAAACATGTAAAAATTCTTATTAAATCCTTTTGTGAGGAATGTATGGTCCTTGTGAAAATCTGCGACTGTTATTTTTCGACTACGTTATGAGTAAATTCCGATTAAATCCAATAGCATGTAAATTGGGTTTAATAAAACAATCTACACTAAGCAAATCATAACTTCACGATCATGAGTTCAAAGCACAATTCTTACCCGTATATATAAGATTTTGTGCGTTGGAATTTGGAGGTGGGTAGGGTACTATTACGTGCGTTTCCAAGTTTTGATTTACAGTCCCCGAAAATGGAAAGATGTGGAAGACAGACAGAGAGACACGAGAATCATGCCAATTTGGATATCAAAGATTTCAATTTTGAAGTAAATTAGCAGCCAAATCTCTCAAGATCCTGCTTAATCTCATCCATTTATCTCGCTAATTAATTTTACCGATTCTATTATTATTATTATTATTATTATTATTATTATTATTAGTAGCAGTAGTATTTATTTTATTTCCACTATCCAATAATTAAATAATAAATATAATAATATGGGGATTGGGATAACCAATTAAGATATTTCATGGATCATTTATTTACTTTTACTCAATAAATGAAAATTTTATTAAGTTATTATTATTATTATTATTATTGATCAGAATGGAAATTTACTATTGACTCAATAAACATTTCTTTATTTTTTTCGTACTCGTTCTGTTATTTAATCGATTCGGCACAGGTGCTGAATGCCTGAGATGTTAATTACATTTAATTATATTAATTAAAAAATTAATTATGAAATTTTTTTAAATATTATATTATAAGGTATTCAGTATAATTCAGTACAATTAATTCAGCAACAAAGCTAGAAAATACATATAGTTAAAAAAAAAAAAGAAAAAGAAAAAAAAAGAGAGGGGGAGGTTTTAAATGCATATAATTTAAAACATAGGTATCATTTGAATGTGCTTTGGATAAAATTTTGATTTAATCTGCAAACTAAATTTGACAAGACAAATCATATTAAGCTGAGACTTAAGACATCAAAGTTTAAATTCATAACTTTACGATTACGAATTCATCCCACATCATCAGACCATTATTTTCTGACCATGTGAGACAACTTTTATGAAAGCAAACAACAGTCGATCATAAGATGAGTGAGATCACAACATCCAATCTCATAAGATTATGGAAGATATTGTGTATTGTTTTTTGCATTTTAAGATATATATATATATATATATATTTTATGTGTGTGTGTGTTAAAAAGCAGTACTTTTTAAATATATTAGTGTGCATCACTTTTAGTTTTTAGATGAATTGTACTTTTTAATATAATGCAGGAAGAATTGTAATGTTAATATAAAAAATAATATTTTTGCGTTGAATTATTAGTTTTTTATAATTGAAAAAGATATATTTTATTTATAGCTTCCAAAAATCACAATTATCTTATGTATCATTGTGTTTAATATTAAAAATATTATTATATTTGTAAAATTTTTTGTACAAATATACTTATATTAGTGTTACGTACGAAATTTAGAATTAGGTTAAAAGCCCAAGGTAAAAAAGAAGAATGGGCCTGGCAATAGGGTTGATTGAACTGGCTGAAGGACACCGTGAGGAAATCAAGGAAAA